AACCCTGATGAGTGTTCACTACTTCACCTTTGATTTGTTGTTTGGTGGGCCCGGGCTGGATTCGAACCCACCACCTTAGGTGTATGTGGCTGGTGCCTTAGCCACTTGAGCCACAGGCGCCGAGTCTGTATGTACATTTTTGAGACAGAGTCTCACCCTGTTGTCCCAGGCTAGAGTGCTGTGCCCTCAGCCTAGCACATAGCAACCTCAAACTCCTGGGTTCAAGTGATTCTCTTTCCTTATTCTCCCTAGTAGCTGATACTATAGGTGTCCATCACAATACCCAGCTAGTTTTCTCTATTTTTAGTAGACACAGGGTCTTGCTTTTGCTCAGGCTGGTCTCCCAGCTCCTGAGTTCAAGGGATCCTCCTACCTTAGCCTCCCAGAGTGCTAGGATTACAGGTGTGAGCCACTGTATCTAGCCTTATTTTTTTATTTTTAAGAAACAGGGTTTTATTGTGTTACCCACACTTATGTGCAGTGGCACCATCATAGCTCACTATAACCTCCAGCTTCTGGGCAGTCACCTTGGCCTCCCAAAGTCCTGGGATTATAAGCTTGAACCATCATACCCAGGCCCAGTTTCCTTGAAAGTAAATTGTCATGTAATAAAAAAGCATCATGGTTTGATGAAAAAGGTTCTGTGGATTTTAGGGTTATGAAGATTAAATAATGTGTAGATTCACATAATTGTAGACACTTTGAACCATTGAGAAGGCTAAGGTAGGACTCCTTAACATATACTCATAAGGTACTTCTTATATTTCTTCCTTGTAATTCTTGTCAGAGTTAATTGTTAGTTAACATTAATTATAAGTTGTTACAAGTTGGCTTCACTTGCTTTTCTTTTTCTTTTTGTTGAGACAGAGTCTCATTTTGTAACCGCAACCTCAATTCTTAGGCCCAAGTGATTCTCTTGCCTCCACCTCCTGAGTAGCTGGGACTACAGGCGCCCACCACAGTGCCCAGCTATTTTTAGAGATGGGGTCTGGCTCTAGCTCAGGCTGGTCTCAAACTCATGAGCTCAGGCAATCCACCTGCCTCAGCCTCCCAGAATGCTAGGATTATAGGCATGAGCCACCACGCTGGGCCCTTTGCTTGCTTCTTGAAGGCAGAGACCATGCTTTGTATTCCCTAGTTCTTAGCATAGTATTGCAAAATCGGTTGCAAATATTAATAACTGTTATTTAGAAATGATAGCAATTATTATTAAGGTTTTACTGTATTTATATAGAAGCTGTCATGTATTGAGAGTTTGCAAAGTAGTTTTACATGCATTATCTCATTTGATCCTCATTAGAATTCAATCACCATTTCCATTTATAGATAGTAAAACTGAGACTTGGGTTACTTACCGCCAGGGACAGTAAATGAGAATCTGGGATTTGAATCCGGTGTTCTCACTCCAGGGCCAGTGCTCTCTACTGTTGTCTTAAAGTAGTTACTTTGAGAGTAGAAAAAGATTCGTATAATATTAAATTTTAAAAGATATGACTGCCTATGTTCTTCCAGCATGTATTAAAAATTTGACTAGTTCTCTCATTGATGTCTGACCATGTGAATGAACTGCCATTTTCCTCCTTTATTCTGGTTACTGTTTTCTTGATGATAAGCTATAGTGGGTGGATGGGTAAAATGTTGGGCTAAAAAAGTTTGAGAGTCATTGTTCAAGAAAAAGAACATGTAGATTTACATATAGATTTTCATGTTTTCTTTTTTTGAGGCAGAGTCTTATTACGTCGCCCTTGGTAGAGTGCTGTGGCGTCATAGCTCACAGCAACCTCAAACTCCTGGGCTCAAGAGGTTATCTTGCCTCAGTTTCCCAAGCAGCTGGGACTATAGGCACCTACCACAACGCCTGGCCATTTTTTTGTTGCAGTTGTCATTGTTTAGCTGGCCCGGGCCAGGTTCAAACCCACCACTCTCTCTATCCTTGGTGTATGTGGCTGGTGCCATAACCACTGTGCTACGGGCATGGAGCCAATTTTCATAGTTTTTATTTTTATCATTTTGGGGGTTTTTAAATTTCTGATAATGTTTCAAACCACGTAACTAGTATTTTCATACCTTGTTATAATTGTTATGTACCTAATTTTTGTATGCCGAGTTTTGGACTTATTTCTTTGTTATTATGAATATTATTATGAAGTTATGATTTGGAGAGAAGAGGGTCCATTTATTATTTATTTATAATGTTTGAAAATTCAGCTAATTTAAAAAGTTAATTTAATAAAATTAATTTTACCAGTACATTAAATAAAATTTATTTTAGATGGTACATTGTATTCATTGAACTTACATTAACTAAATATATTTTTGATAGTAATGATAATGTTATTTCTTCTTTGCTTTTAAGGCCCGTTTCCTGCTTTCAAAAGTCAACCCTTCACAGACTCACAATAATATGTATGCCTGGGGGCAGGTAAGTGTAAATAGCAGTTCTTAAAAGTTATTTCTTTGTGTATTTATTGTAGTTTGTTATTTTGGCGAAAGCTATATTTTTCACATGTATTTAGTAATGATTTCGGTTGCAAAAGTCATGAAAGAATAAGAGTAGAAAACAGAATTAATATTTGGTAGCACCATAGAAAATAAAAAAGTGATCCTTTCAAATAGAGAGAACCCCTTCCTATTTCAAGATTAGTGCCACACCCTGAGACAAATAGCAATAAAGTGTCTAAGCCAGGAAATGACAACTGAAGCTTAATGGTAGGCCCCCCCAACCACAAAAGGTCACAGAAAGCCAAGAGAGGTCAGGGATTGTAGTTGAGCAGAAGTGGGAAGCCTACAAATCAGTACTGATAAAACTTAATTTGGAATAAGTCCTGCCTTTTATTTTATTTTTATTTATCTATTTTTTTTTTGAGGCAGAATCTTATTATGTCCCCCTCGGTAGAGTAATGTGGCATTACAGGTCACAGCAACTTCAAACTTTTGGGCTTAAACAATTCTCTTGCCTCAGCCTCCCAAGTAGCTGGGACTACAGGGACCCACCTCAATGCCCAGCTGTTTTTTTGTTGCACTTGTCATTGTTGATTTTAGGTGGCTTGGGCCGGGTTTGATCCTGCCAGCCTTGGTGTATGTGACCCTACCCACTGAGCTACGGCGCCGCCCAAGTCCTACCTTTTAATATACCACATCAGGATTTGTTGAGTGTCCTATATGTACAGGAATCTGTACTGGTACTTCAGGACACACAGTTACCATCCCTGCCTCTGAAGAGCTTGTAGTCCAGTATTAGAGATAAGATACATACCTAGGGATGGTGCCTGTAGGTCGGTGGGTAGGATGTTGGGTCACATACACCCAAGATGGTGGGTTCAAACCCGGCCCGAGCCAGCTAAACAACAATGACAACTGCAAGAACAACAACAGAAATAGCCAGGTGCTGTGGCAGGTGCCTGTAGTCCCAGTACTTGGGAGGCTGAGGCAAGAGAATTGCTTAAGTCCAAGAGTTTGAGGTTGCTGTGAGCTGTGATGCTACAGCACTCTACTGAGCGTGACATAGACTCTATTTCAAAAAAAAAAAAAATACAAAGTATTACAGGGATTTCTAGAAGAGGAAGAAGGGATGAGGGCACATCGTGGTAGCAGGTCGGGGGTGTGTGATTAGAGAAAAGTTCAGATAAAAGGGATATTTACTGTAAAGAGTGGTTATTGTTTCAGTAAATGAAAGTTGCATGAGGAAGGAAATTCTAGGTAGACAATAGTATGGGACCAAGAAGTTGAGTCTTTGTTTGGGAAGTAATTGAGAGTCCTTGAAGGTTTTTGGACATGGGGGAAATTCCAGTCTTAGATAGTATAGTTGGATCTAAGATTAATTTGTAGCATTTTGTAGCCTGAAACTATATTAATTGAAGTTATCCAAGTGAGAGGGGATGAAGGCAAGAGGGTGAAAGGAATAGATTTGGGAGATATTTCAAAAGTAGACTCCGTGGTACTTGATTAGAAGAAATTTGAAATTCTGACTGGATTTTGGCTGAGAGGGAGAAAGCAGCTTTTACAACATAATTGGGATGATTGTGAAATTTGAATACAGAATATATGTGAAATAAGTAGTTCAGTATAAAGTGATACTGAAAGTCATCACAGTAAATGTTTACATGAGGAGAGCAGAGAGCTAACGGAGGGACAGTGCTTGGACTTGAGGGCTGGCCCAGATGACTACATCATTTGTGGCCTTTTGTAAGTAGTTTTAATATAGTGGTTGGGTAAGATAGATCATAAAGAATTGGTGGTGAAGTGTAGCTTATTACAGTAAGTGATTCTTTGGCAAATTTAGCCTGAGGATAAATGATAGGGTAGGTAGATGGTTGTCATTAGAATAAGAACACAGAATTTTCCTGTAGATCAGGTATAAGGAGCCAATGTAGGGAAGACACAAAAACCAGATGTTTTAGATCCTCAGGAGATAGGATGATCACAAGCACTAAGGAGGATGAAGCTTGGGAAGGAGGCAGGGTGTTTCTTTCTGCAAAAGCAAAAGGTGAGAAGAGGGTGGAGACAGGAAGCCTGTGGGGTGGAGTGAAAGCTCACATTGGATAATTGCCATTTCTTTTCAGTAATAGATTATTTTAAGAGTGAGAAAGGCTAGGTTAAGGACTGAAAAATGGAAAAGATGAAAAACAGGTTTAAGGAATATAAAAAATCAACAGTGAATGACTAAAAGGCTTTTGCAGCAGTAGTGAGGGCCCCTTTATTTATTAAAAATTTCTAGAGCATGCTTCCATAGTGCTCTTTAACCATGCTCTGTAGGTCAGACGCTGGATCAAAGCTGAGAGACTGGGGAGGGGGGGTAATTCAGGACTAGAAATGAGAAAGAAATTAGAAAGAGGGTAGACTAATTCAGAGCGGTGTTAATTGACTAACTCTGGGGTCCGGGTTGGGTAGAAGGTAAATGAAGCCATAGCTGCAATTAAGGCCTCTCCTCTTTCAATGTGGAAGTATCTCAGAACTTTGTCCTGATTTCTCAGCATTCACTGTTTCTTTGCTTCCACTTTGGTGGCGTCAGCTTTCATCCGAAGACTGACTGGCAAATCTCTGTCTTTTGTTTGGCTTCACTTTGAACTATGGACTTGAGTTTCTATAATTGTCTGGTGCATGTCACTTGAATTTCCTGTAGACATTTCATAAAGTGTAATGACCCAACTTGACCTCTCTTCAAACACGATCTTCTTCCTAATTTCCTGTTTTTACAGAAGACCTCACTTTTCTCAAGGCTTAGGACTTCAGTCCTTTGCCGTTTCTTCTTTCTGCCTCCCATTACTCACAAATGCTTTGCCCTATTTTCCTGTCTTTCCCTTCTTTCTGTGTCACTAACTGAAGTCACATTCTCTTTACTTTTCATATGGACATGGAATTACCTGCTAACTGGTCTTGGCGCTTCAATTTTTTTTCTCTTATTTTGGCAGTGGCCAGAATAGTCTCCCTAATTTAGTAGTCCTGAATGCTAGCTCTGAAATCTTCCATAATCTCTTGTAGAATTATATATAAGCCCTTTATATTGTTATTGAGACTCCTTTCTGGCATGACCCAAATGTTTTTTTCTATCTTTAGCTATTATGTAGTTCTTTTAGCCAAACTAGACTTCTCTCTGCACTCTGAATACACTGAGCACGTTCTTGGACATATCCTACCTGTCCCTCAAGGTTGAGTTCAAGGGTCACTGAATCCATAAAACTCTTCTAGACTCTGTTTTGGGTTGCTTAGAATAGAATACCCGAAAGTAAGTAACTACAAAGGAAATAAATTTATTTCTCACAGTTGTGAGGCTGAGAAGTCTGAGGTCGAGGAGCTGTGTCTGGTGAGGGCCTTCTTGCTTGTGGGGACTCTCTGTAGACTCCTGAGCTGGTGCAGGGCATCACCTGTAACAGGGCTGGGCATGCTAGCAGCTCAGGTCTCCTTCTTATAAAGCTGCTGGTCCCACTCCTGTGATAATCTGTTAATCCATTCATGAGAGCAGAGTCCTCATGACCCAGTTATGTTTTAAAGACCCCCTCCTCTCAGTACTGCTACATTGGAGATAGAATTTCAGTGTGAGTTTTGGAGGAGACAAACATTCAAACCATAACACCTTCCTTCCTATGGTTGCCTGACCAGATTTATGTAATATCCCATCACACCTCTTTTCCCCATCCATTTCCTGTGGCCCTTATGTCTTCTGTTAGATTTAAATTACGTGAGGGCAATAATTGTCACTTTCATTTCTGACTTCCACAGTAGCTTAAACATAACATCCGTGGAGTAGAGCAGATCTGGATGGGCGAGAGCAGACTTTAGAGTATGGGGGTTCTGTGTTGGTGCTTAGGAGTTAAGGAGGTTTTGTGATACAGATAAATAATTTGAATCCAAAGTCTACAAATTTTGAAAGGTGAGGCAGTTTTAACGTAATCGTGGAAGTGAGGAGGGCTGGTAGTGGGAGTATAAATTACTTAACTTCTCTTTGCCTTTGCTTCCTTGTCCACAGAGTTGAATAACAGTATGTGCTTCATGTGGACAGTAATACTCAGGAAATATTAGCTGTTCATTCTCACTGTTAACAATGGAAAAACATTTTCTCCCTAAAGATAAGATGCTTAACTTGGGAAAGAAAACCTATTTTTAAACTTTGGAGTTTAGCTATTACTACTTAGAAGTAAGGGCATTAGAGGAATAAACAAGAGCCTAAGGTTTTCGTTTTGTTTTTTTTGAGACAGAGTCTCACTCTGTCACCCAAGTTAGAGTGCTATCATGTCATAGCTCACAGCAACCTCCAACTCCTAGGTTTGAGTGGTCCTGTTCCCTCAGCCTCCCAAGTAGTCGGGACTATAGGCATCTGCCACAACACCTGGCAAGTTTTTCTGCTTTTTAGTAGAGGGGGGGGGTCTTGCTTTGCTCAGGCTTGTCTTGAACTCTTGAACGCAAGCAGTCCACCTGCCTTGGCCTCAGAGTCTAGATTTACAGGTGTGAGCCACTGGGCCTGGCCCCTAAGGTCTTCTTGATGCCTGATTTTTATGAGAAATAATATTTTCATAATCATAATAATTACTAAATTGATCTATAGCTTCATGGTCATCATGATAAGATTTTTATATGTTCTCATTTAATTGTTTAACAGCTTCTACCAGTTGGGTGCTATTAACCTTATTTTTCAGAAGAGGAAATTGAAGCTCATATATGTTCAGTAGGTCTTACCTAAGGTTGCATAGCTAAACTGTGGCAATATTCAGATTTGTTGCCTGTTTCACCCAGGCCTTTCAGACTCCAGACGAGAATTTTTAATAAGTACGCTAACTTGATGATTGCAATTTAGGGAATTAACTTTAGCAGCCAAGCGTTTTACTAAATATTAATGGAATCTAGGATCTTCAGAGTTTGTCAGAATTCCAAATACCCAGTGATAAGTATTACCCATGAATGGCCTGAAGAGGGCACCACTGCCACACAGCTGCTGTGCACTCCCGGAGCCTCTGTTGCTGTTGAGTCTCAAATGCTAAGTCATGTAAAGCCTGTACCATTCTGCTTGATCTTCAAATATTGTAATTGGAAAAGGGGCCCATTTGAAAAATTAAAATCAACCAACTGCTAATTTTTGATAAAATTGAGTTGAGGTTTAGTATTTATAATTTCAAATGTAAAAATTCTGAAGTATATAAATTAGAAAATCCACGACTAGGAAAAAAAGATCTGCGATTGAGTGACTTGAAGTAGAAAACAGGTATAAAATGAAAAAAAAAATTAAGCATAGTTACAGGAATTAGAGAGCAAGAACCATCAGGTTGTTACTGGTTTAGGTCACATTTTGAGACCTGTGCTTCTCTGAGTTAACTGTGAACGTAGAATAATGAAGAGAAGTAGTTCAGTATTATAATAGGGTTTTCAAAAGAAGGAATAATAAAAATAGCTAAAATGTGTTGTGTTTCTGGGATTGTCCTATTTGCTTTATACAATGTAGCTCATGTAAATCATGGTAACAACCGTGGAAGATAGATTTTGTTATTATCCTTATTTTACAGATGAGAAAAGTAAGACACAGGTCAAGTAACTTCTTTCTTCAAAGTCATATGGGGGCCGGGCTCCGTGGCTCACATCTGTAAACCCGGCACTTTGGGAGGCCAAGGCAGTATTTGTTGAGGCCAGGAATTTGTGACCAGCAATGTAACACGACCCCGTTTCTACACACACACACACACACACACACACATATATTTTAAATTAAATGTGCATGGTGGTATGCCTGTAATCCTAGCTAATGGAAGGCTGAAGCAGGAAGATTGCTTGAGCCCAGGAGTTTGAGGCTGCAGTGAGCTATGTAAGCTATGATCACCCTATTGGGTTTTTTTTTTAAGAGATGCTGTTTCTTAAAAAAGAAAAAAAACAACAAACAAACAAACTAAAAAACCAAGTCATATGGGTAGTCAGTGCTTTTGTCTCCCTTCGTTGTCAAGTTTTTCAGGTTCTTATGGATTGACCTTAAAAATTGATTTTCCTTTATTCAGGAGAGGTCATGGCATGTCCCTGCTGTGCCAGGCTGGACCCACAGGAGCTATAAATTCTTACCTCACATTTGCCACTAACTTGGTGATCGCCTCTGAAAATTACTTAATTTCTTGTTATAGACTTTTCGTATTTATTAATAAATAAATTGAATATCAGAAGAAAAATGAAAAATTCGGATATAAATGCTAGAAATACTTTCCATTAGTTTAGTAAAATTTCACCGTTAATGGATTAGGTTATAAAGGTCATTCTGTCAACACATTTTTTATTGAATGGATATTAGGAATTTCTCCTAACTCTCAGTAATTATCTGGACCTGACAGTAATGAATTAAATTGACTTGAAAAACTGATAAGCATATATCGTTTAAAAAATGATATTATGAGTGTGTTTCCTTCCAGCTGGCTTTTCTGTTAAAATGCCAGGGAGAAAAAAAAAAATTGCCAGGGAGAAAGGGTCTGGAGGTCAGGCTGTCCCTCAGCTCCAGCCCTCAGATGACCCCGTTGTGGGCCTTTCTGGTGGCCCCCATCCTGAGTCAGTGCATCACATAGCCTTAACGTAGGTGTAGTCCCATCAGCCCATGAATGATGTGACTTAGAGAATTGCGGGCTGTAGATTCTCCCTCCCAGAAGTCGGGGACAAAGACCAGTTAGATTCTTCAGTCAACAGGAGCATAAGCATTACTTTACTTAAAATGGTTTCCTTGTCCATTTTGAACATTTGCTTAAACATTCCAAGGCTGAGTTTAATTGTAGCTATCGTCTTTCTTTTCCTTAGGAATCTGGAGCACCGATTCTCACGGATGATGTCAGTTTACAAGTGTTCATGGATCACTTGAAGAAACTTGCTGTGTCAAGTGCTGCTTGAAGAGCTAAACATGTGAAGGACATTTAAGAAGATGAAATAATAGTCCAGTTTCTTATTTTCCCTTTTTCAATATATCTGTGGAAACCAACAGGGATCTCTCTCTAGACTTTATTTTATTTTAGTATGGTTTGAGACAACATATTGAAAAACATTCACGTTTGCAGGTTAAGCTGGAATATAATGAGAGCAATAAGAACAAATTTGTTTTGCTTGCCACAGTATTATAACCAGTTTTAGAAATTTGAGGTCTTTATAACTGAATTATGTTTAAAAGTAAAAATAAAGTCTGCTTTGTACTCTCAATATCTCAGTGTATATGCAGACAAACCCAAAGTAGCACTGAATGTTCGTGGTGACCTTTTAAAAACTCGTTTCTTAACTTTAGCCAGAAAGTAAAGGAAAAAAAAAGAGCAATGATAAATGTGAACATTTTGTTTACTCCTTTTTTTTTGATTTTCAGCACTTACATATACACTTTTTCTGTACTTACTCTGTTAAGGCAGTTTTATTTTTCTATGATTTGTTTAGGAATTATTGGACTTTATAATGGTAATTTTTATGAAGATAATTTAATGTTTTTGGTTATTTGGAAAAACAGTTTAAAGACAAAAAACTTGGAGGTAATGATTCCACAACTGACAATAAATGTGAAATTTCTACAAAGTACCCAACTTATGTGACTAAACAGGAAATTTGTTTTAAAGGGCCATAGCCAATGAATCATTTGGTCAGCGTGCAGAGTGAGTGCCCGGGGAGGAGGAAGCCTTCAGGTAGAGAGACCATTGTAACTACAAACCACATTTGGCTTTCGCTTCATGGTTTGATGGTTTCCCCTTGTTTTTCTGAGGTAAATTTTACATTGTATCCTTCAGTATTTTAACACTACTTCGAGAGTTTACACATTTTGTTTCTGCTTCCTTTTTGTGAAATTTATTAAGTTGGGGTTCATATTGAAACAGTATTATAAGGTTGTTTAATTATGTAACACGGTGAAGCTCAGTTATATTTTGATTTATTCATTAGGATCATTCACTGTTGCCATTTAAAGTTTACTTATAGCAAATATGTTTACATTGCTAAAGCCAGATGTGTTTTGACAATGAAATTTATGTATCAAGTACTGCAGATAAAAGGTGGTGCTTTTATATATTCTTAGAAGGATAGTTTTGATGATTGTATTTGCATGAACACAATCAGATGATGGCAAAACATAAACTTATGAAAAATGGTTTATACGTTTTATTCAATTAGTTTAAATAAATTGCTTTGTTCTGTTTTATTTGAATTGGATTGTGCTAGGCCTAAATGCCAATAAAATACACTTTCTCTGCTTTTCTGCGTATTTTTGAAATCTATTAAAGCCTGAGAAGGCTAATGGAAAATTAGTGCATCTAAAATCTAACAGGAGAGTAAAAGTTACTCATTTTTAAAATACCAGCTTTTTTGAGGTATAATTGACGATACCGTATATATTTTCATGGAGTTGTGTAACTGTTACCACTGTCAGTTTTAGAGCCTTTTCATCACCTACAAAATAATTATTCATGTTTTCTGTAGGATAAGTTTGTTTTGGACTTCACATGTTTTGAATAGAGGAAAGATCATGCGATGATGATACCTGATTGATTTATCAGGGCCCTTGAGTTACGTACATCAAGAATGTGGCTCGTGCCTATAATCCTAGCACTTTGGGAGGCCGAGGTAGGTGGATTGCTTTTGAATCTTGCTCAGGAATTTGAAACCAGTTTGAGCAAGAGAGATACCCCATCTCTACTAAAAATAGAAAACTAATCAGGCATGTGGTGGGCACCTGTAGTCCCAGCTACTTGAGAGGCAGAGGCAAGAGGATTGCTTGAGTTTAAGAGTTTGAGGTTGCTGTGAGCTGTGATGCCACAGCACTCTACCAAGGGTGACAGATTGAGACCGTTTCAAAAAATAAAAAGAAGAATGCTATGTTGATGAGGTGGTACTTAGCCCTACATTGTCCTCTACTTCTAAATAATTTATAGGTGAAGGCGCTAACATAGTAGCCTAATGTGTTTTTAGGGATAGGGTTGAGCAAATGTCTTATCATGTCCTTTTAGTTTATCAATTAAAAGCATTTTGCTCTGTTGCCCAGGGTCAAGTGGCAGTGGTGTGATCGTAGCAGTCCTCCTACCTCAACTTCCCAAAGTAGTTAGGGTTACAGGTGCACAACTATGCCTGGCTGTCTTGAAAACATTTTGTCTTTGGTAGACACTGGGTTTTTCTGTGTTGCCCAGACCAATCTTGAAGTCCTGGTCCCAAGCAAGTCCTGGTCCCTCTCTCCTTGACCTTCCCAAGTGCGGGAATTACAGCTATCATTCGAGGCCCATTCTCATTTTTGTGTATAACTTAGGTACTTCTCAGTGGTTAGCTATTTAGACAGACTGTGAAAAAATGTTTGGCCCTGGTCTTAGGCCATTGGAGCTGCTAGAACAAAATGCCTCAGACTGGGTGACTTATAAATAACAGAAATGCGTTTCTCACAGTTCTGGGCGCAGGGAAGTCCCAGAGGAAGGTGCCAGTAGCCTCAGGGTCTGGTGATGGCTCTCTGCTTCATGGATGGCACCTTCTGTGTGTCCTCACCTGGAAGAAGGGAGGGACGTGAACAAGCTCACCCAGTCACTGGTCCACTCACGAGGGCAAAGCCCTCACCTTTTTTTTTTCAGACAGAATCTTACTCTGTCACTCCGAATGCCATGGCCTCAGCCTAGCTCGTGGCAACCTCAAACTCTAGGCTCAAACGATCCTGCCTTAGCCTCCCAAGTAGCTGGGACTACAGACGCTCACCCCAACACCACGCTAATTTTTCTGTGTATTTTAGTGGAGATGGGATCTTGCTCTTGTTCAGACTGCTTTAGAACTCCTGAGTTCAAGGGGTCTTCCTGCCTTGGCCTTCCAGAGTGTCAGGATTACGGGCATGAGCCTCCTCGCTGGGCCAAGGCCCCACGTCTTAATACTACTTTGGAGATTAGATTTCAACAGGAATTTCGAGGGGTCCAAACATGTAGACCATAGCACCCTCTTAAAGAACTTAGGGTGGGTAAAAATATTTGCTACATTTGCTACATTTGCAGCACTGAGAGGCTTTAGAATATTATCCACAACTACTTTGGAACTTATTATTGAACCTACCACTTATGTTGGCATAATCTCTAAAAATGACCCTAGACCTCATCTATGTACAATTATATTTTGGCATAACAAGATAAATTTATTCTGTCTTTGGCTGATTCCAAAATTCAGCTAACGTTTATCTAGTTCCCCTGATAACTTCCCTCTCATATTCCCTAACTCAAAGACTGTGTCTAATGATTATACCTGGTTATCCAGTTCAGGCCAGTAACTAGAGAATCATTTTCAACTCCTATTCTTCTGAACAGCTTCAGTAACTAAGGCCGATCAGTTTGCCCAGTCTAGTATCTCCCTAATCTACCGTTCACCATCTTATTGCTATTCCGCAGTGTACCTCACCCATTTAAAATCGCCCCCTTGCCAGTCTGCTTCCCCACCATCCTGTATTCCTCTCTCCAGCTCACTTTCCACACTAAGAAAGGGGCTATTTTGGAAATAAAAATCTGATCCTGTCACTTTCCTTGTCTAGAGGAAATCCAAACTCTTTGCCCTGGTAACACTGTATACTATATATCAGTGATACAAGGGCACAGTTGAAAAGATGTGTTGGAGGGGGGTCTCTAGTTCTACTGCATGTGGTGTTTGGGGTCACATAGACCCCAAACATCATATTCTCTACTGATGTTGCAAATTAAGTATATGGCTTATTGTACTTGCTGTTATTTTAAATGAACATGGTATTTGGTTATTTTTCAAATGATGTTGACAGATGAGTATTTTCTAACACTAACTTTACATTTTTATTTTCATCTTCCATGTCTCCAATATACGTGCATCTATACTTTTTGTGCTTCTCTTTTTTTTGCGACAGAGTCTCACTTTGTCACCCCTGGTGGCATCATAGCTCATAGCAACCTCAAACTCTTGGGCTCAAGCAGTTCTCTTTCCTTAGCCTCCCGAGTACCTGGGACTACAGGCACCTGCCACAACGCTTGGCTATTTTTAGAGGCAGGGGTCTCGCTCTGGCTCAGGCTGGTCTCAAACCTCTGAGCTCAGGCAATCTACCCGCCTTGGCCTTCCAAGTCTTTCAAGCTTTTATATGTTTGATTTGTATTCATCCTGAGCATTTTATCAATTAATACTACAGATGTTTTTCTTTTTTGCTTTTTAATAATTTAATCTTTTTGGGGGGCAGTTTTTGGCCAGGGCTGGGTTTGAACCCACCACCTCTGGCATATGGGGCTGGCACCCTACTCCTTTGAGCCACAGGGACCACCCTAATTTAATCATTTTTGCTTTTTAATCTTCTTTTACTAGTTGAAATAACAGCTGGTCTAAGATTAATGTATTATTATCTGGCGAATGTAGCAATTGTCAGGTATGCAACAGTGAAGCTATATTACTAGATAAGCTATATTACTAAATAAATCTATAGATTTTTTTCTTCCCTATTTATGGATTATATTGACCAATATATTTTGTTGCTTTTCTCTTAAATTTGATTCTTTTTTCTATGTAAGTGACTATTTTGTTATTTTTTTGTTGTTGCCTAGTTCATAACCTTATCTACCATTTCCGTGTGCTTATTTTAAAGGAGTTATTTTAAAGCTTAGCGTTTCACCATGCTTTGTTCAAGCCTGATTTAGACTTTAGCCAATATTTGGGGTTTTGATTAACCTTATCTAAAATTTCATAGCAGGAAAAAACATCTACATTGTACTGATGCAATGATTTATTTTCTTGGTTAGTCCTTTAGTTTTAAACAGCAGTTGGAGAAGACAAATTCAGTCATAAAGATGTTCAGATTCAGTTAAAGATTCCATGTGTGAACTAAAATTTGCACTTACAAAAAATTTGCATCTCAAAGTTCACACTCTGTGTTGCTGTTCTAAAATTTAATCACATATCACTTCTTGGCCTTTTGGCTAAGATTAAGTGTAGTATCTGTTCTTATTGGTTTAAAATTAATCGCAATCTATGCTGTATGAATATACTTAATAAATTTAGTTAATACCACTTTAACTGTATACTTATAAAAAGGTTAATATAGTAAATTTTATGTGTATTTTATCACAATAAAAAAGGACAATTTAATCACAAAACCTATTGAGTGATCATCACATAGATTGACAGAACTGTTTTTTTTTTATTTTTTTGAGACAGTGTCTCACTTTGTCATCCTCGGTACGGTGCCCTGGCATCATAGCTCAGAGCAACCTCCAACTCTTGGGCACAAGAGATTCTCTTGCCTCAGCCTCCCGAGTAGCTGGGATTATAGAAGCCCGCCACAATACCTGGCTAGTTTTTCAGAGAGACGAGGTCTCGCTGTGGCTCTGGCTGTTCTTGAACCTGTAGGTCAAGGTGATCCAGCCTTCTCAGCCTTCCAGAGTGCTAGGATTACAGGCGTGAGCCACTGTGTCCGGCCAAAACTGTTCCTTTATTTTAGTAATTATTCTACTATTATTGTTTATTTTGAAACTGCTATTTAAATACCAGGGTACATATAGTACCACAGGCACTAAAAACACAAACTGAGGCTCCAAAGGCGTGTAAATGGTTTATTCAAAAGATTTTATAAACTTAACCTTTTATTGAGACAGACTCTCACTTTGTTGCCCTCAGTAGAGAGCTGTGGTGTCCTAGCTCATAGCAACCTCAAACTCGTGGGCTCAGGTGATCCTCTTGCCTCAGCCTCCCAAGTAGCTGGGACAAGAGGCATCCCCCACAACTCCTGGCTCTTTTTTAGAGATGGGGTGTCACTTGTCTCAGGCCGGTCTTGAACTTCTGAGTTCGGATGATCCACCTATCTCAGCCTCCCAGAGTGCTAGGATCTTGTATGTTGGGGCCAGATTCAGAAACTGGGAGTTTTCTGAATTAAGTTCCTTGTAGAACATGATGTTTATTAAAAGGTTATAAAAATACTAATCAGAAAGTTAGTCTGAGTGCAGTGGCTCGCGCTTGTAATCTAGCACTCTGGGAGGCAGAGGCAGTTGGATTGCTTAAACTCAGGAGTAAAGACCAGCCTGAACAAGAGCGAGACCCTGTCTGTATTAAACAAATAGGGAAATCAGCTGAGTGTTGTGGTGGGTGCTGGTAGTCCCAGCTACTTGGGAGGCTGAGGCAGGAGGATGGCTTGAACTCAGGAGTTTGAGGTTGCTGTGAGCTAGGCTAATGCCACTGCACTCTAGCCTGGGCAACAGAGTGAGCATCTATCTCAAAAAAAAAGAAA